GCCCTTCATGTCCCTGGCCAGATTTAATTCTATCAGGGCTTTGGCTTTCCTAACCTGATCCCTGTCTGCTTGGACAATTTCTCTGTATTCCTCCCAGGCTACCTGTCCTTGCTTCCACCCTCTGTAGGCTTCCTTTCTGAGTTTGCCCAGGAGCTCCTTGTTCATCCATGCAGGCCTTCTGGTGTTTTTGCCTGACTTCCTCTTTGTTGAGGTGCATTGCTCCTGGGTTTGTAGGAGGTGATCCTTGAATATTAACCAGCTTTCTTGGGCCTCTCTTCCCTTCAGGGCTGTATCCCATGGTACTCTACCAAGCAGATGCCTGAGGAGGCCAAAGTCTGCTCTCCTGAAAGTCCAGGGTAGTGAGCTTGCTGTGTGCCCTCCTCGCTGCCCTAAGGATCTTGAACTCCACCATTTCACGGTCACTGCAGCCAAGGCTGCCCTTGAGCTTCATATTCCACACCAGCCCCTCCTTATTGGTGAGAACAAGGTCCAGTGTAGCACCTCTCCTTGCTGGCTCCTCTATCACTTGGAGAAGGAAGTTGTCATCAGCGTGTTCCAGGGTTTCCTGGATTGCTTATGCCCTGCTGTGTTGTCCCTCCAACGGATCATAGTTGTCCTACCTATACTAAAAATTTGGATAAAGCTTCAATCCCTTGCTGCAACTTGCTGGGACCACAACACTAAAATAAAGGTGGCCTTTGACTAGGATATCTATCCTATGACCAGCCCTGAGACCATTTTAAGTGTCTTGGCTACTGCAGAAGCTAGCGCTAAAACTGCCATATAATTATGTTTGTTATAACAAATAATGTCATAATCATACCACTTAGTTAGGAAAGGACATCTGGATTCCTGATTATCTGGTCCAATCTCCTGTTCAATGCAAGGCCAACTTCAAGGTGAGATGAGGTTGTTCAAGGCCATTATTTAATCGAGTTTTGGGTACTACGAAGGATGGAGGTATATAATGGAGATATACTACGGACAGAAAGCAGCAAAAGAAATGCTGAAGAGCTATCTTTTTTTTTGTTTAATTGTGTTATGCTAAGGCAATCCAGGACACCTGCCTTATGAAAAAAGAAATACCCCTACCTATCAGTTCAGTGCATGTAAGCATTTGAGAAAGCTTGGGTATTTTGTTGGGTTTGTGTGGCATGGTTTTGGTAGCGAGGCGGGTTACAGGGGTGGCTTCAGTGAGAAGCTGCTGGAAGCTTCCCCTATGTCCAACAGAGCCAATACCAGCTGTCTCTAAGATGTACCCGCCACTGGCCAAGGCCGAGCCAATCAGCGATAGTGGTAGCACCTCTGAGATAACGTACTTAAGAAGGAAAAAAAGTTGCGGGAGACACAGAAACGGCAGCTGGAGAGAGGAGTGAGAACATGTGAGAGAAACAACTCTGCAGACATCCAGGTCAGTGAAGAAGGAGGGGGAGGAGGTGCTCCAGGCACCAGAGCAGAGATTCCCCTGCAGCCCGTGGGGAAGACCATGGTGAGGCAGGCTGTCCCCCTGCAGCCCATGGAGGTCCATGGTGAAGCAGATATCCACCTGCAGCCCGGGGAGGACCCCACGCCAGAGCAGGTGGGTGCCTGAAGGAGGCTGTGACCCCGTGGGAAGCCCACGCTGGAGCAGGGTCCTGGCAGGACCTGTGGACCCGTGAAGAGAGGAGCCCACGCTGGAGCAGGTTTTATGGCAGGACTTGTGACCCCACGGGGGACCCATGCTGGAGCAGTTTGTGCCTGAAGGACGGCAGCCTGTGGAAGGGGCCCACGCTGGAGCAGTTCGTGAAGAACTGCAGCCCATGGGAAGGACTCACGTTGAAGCAGTTCGTGGAGGACTGTCTCCCGTGGGTGGGACCCCACGCTGGAGCAGGGGAAGAGTGCGATGAGTCGTGCCTCTGAAGAGGATGAAGCTGCAGAGCCAACATGTGGTGAACTGACCGTAAACCTCATTCCCCGTCCCCCTAAACCTCATTCCCCGTCCCCCTGCGCCGCTGGCGGGGGGGGGTAGGTAGAGAATCCGGGAGTGAAGTTGTGCCCAGGAAGAAGGGAGGGGTGGAGGGAAGGTGTTTTTGAGATTCGGTTTTACTTCTCATTACCCTACTCTCATTGATTGGTAATAAACTGAGTTAATTTTCCCCAAGTAGAGTCTGTTTTGCCCATGATGGTAACTGGTGAGAGATCTCTCCTTGTCCTTATCTCGACCCACGAGCCCTTTGTTATATTTTCTCTCCCCTGTCCTGCTGAGGGGGGGGGGGAGTTATAGAATGGCTTTGGTGGGCAGCTGGCATCCAGCCAGGGTCAACCCACCAGAGGACACTAATTACCTGAAAGAGATAATAGCATCTGTCGCTAGTAACACTTGAGAAACAAGGAAACAGGGTTTCAGAATGTGTATTCTTCTGGCAGCCGGTGTAACTCTTGACAGAATTTGAGGGACACTATGCTGGGGAACCATGAGTGTCATGATCAGAGTATCACAAGCATTAGCTCACCTCTAGGTTGTACAAATAGCACATGGTTAATTGAAGGCTAATTTTACCCAACTTCACTTCAGTAAATATACGGCCACCTTCATCCAAAACCTTAATTTCTCAAGCCTTCCAATGTTTGAAAGAACTTTGACATCTACAATTTTTATTACTTTTTACACAGAAGAAATGAACAAATGAACTTCTTCCACAGCAGTAATGATGAGTTATTATTCCTAGAAAAAAACCACCCCACTGTTTAAAACAGGAAATAGCAGTTTCTGCAGTATCTGCATAGCTTCAGGACATCCATTTGTGCTGCTATTTCCAAAAAGCTGATGTCCATTCCAAACACCTGACAGACACCCTCCTGACTCCAACTGAGGCCTTTTTTCTTCTGCAAGCAACTTTCGTTAGTTCGAACTCAAGAAAGCTATTCTGTACTTTTGACATTTTTTTAAGTGGATGACACAGTATCCCTGAAGGGCTCCCCTGTTTCTAAGGCTTTTCACAGTCTTTTTTTCTAAATTCCTATTTCACATTTTCAGTTTTTTGTGACCAGCTCATCATCCACGGGAGGAAAGCAACACTGCCGGCAGACTTGGGACGTGGGAGGAGGTACTGCTAATCACTGAGATTTTTCTGTTTCGTAGAACACGTTGCCCTAGTCTAACGACGACACCTTTCCAACGCACACCGCTTTTCCATCAGCAGGCCTCCGCTGTTTCCCACCTGCAGTCACGCAGGGGCAGCGGGAGAAGGCGGGCACAACCTCCCCCTTTCTGCGCCAGCAACGCCCCCCCGTGGGGATGGAAGCTCCGAGGTGCTTCTTCTTGGCTCCCATCCCCTCCAGCTCCACCAGACACCGCCGGCCCGAGCCCTGTGGCGGGCCTGGCGGCGGGAAGCGCTGCCGCGACGCAGGGCCCCCCCTCGCAGGCCCCCTCGCGGCAGCCCGGGACGCTGGCAACCGGCTTCCCTCCTTTCACGGCCAGGCCAGGCCCAGCCCCGCTCCCGCCGCCTCAGGGCGCCAAAGCCGAACCGAGCCGCCGCCCGGCCCCGCTACCGCAGAGAAAGGGCGTGCGGCCAGCCAGCGCCGCGCATGCGCACAAGCACGGACGGCCGCCGGCCGCCAGCCGCCGCCACTCCCGCATGCCTTCCTCGTCCCCACGGGACTGCCCCTACTGCGCAGGCGCTCTCCCTCAGGCCGCGCGGCCTTATCACGCATGCGCCTCACCGCCGCCGCGACTTCCCGGCGGGAAAATACAGGGGGGTGCGCTGCCTAAAGCGCCCCGGCGTGCAGCCCGAGCCTTACGGGTTCTTCGTTCCCGCTCCGCCTCACCCCGCTCTCCTCCGCGCATGCGCCACTTCCGCTGTTTCCTTGGCAGCTGTGATTGTTTTCGGCAGAACCACCTGCGCGGAGCTGCGGAGGGGGAGCGCGGGGTGAGGGAGAGACCACCGGCGGGGACGGGGGGGAGGCAGGGCTGCCGCGGCAGCCGGCGGGTCGCGGCGGCGCCACGGAAGCGGACGGGGCCGACGTGAGTGATGCCCTCGTGCTGCGGGGGCGCGGCGGGCGGGGGGAGAGCGGGGACGCGTCAGGCAGGGCCCGCGCCTCGGGCGGCGAGGCCGCGTACGGCCGGGGTCCCGCCGGGCCCTGCCGCCGCTCGCCCTAGTGCGCGGCTCCAGAGGCGGGTAGGCTGGGGGACGCCCCCCCCCCGCCGTTCCCCCCCCCGGCTCC